AGCAGCAGGGGGACACAAATGTTTGTGTCTGATTGTACTTAAATGTTAGCTGTAAGAGGAGAACCACTGTGGAAAAAAAAACAACAACCTGTTGCTTTCACTTTTGGTTGACTACAACTGTTGCAAAAAAGAAACAGATATTTAATCAGGTTGAAAGATAAAATCTGGACCCATCTGACCCTAGACCTCGGAAACCCAGTCCACTTGTGTGTCTGTGTGTGCACATGCATGCCAACAGAGCTCTCTGTGCGTGTGCTGTTTAATGTGCGCCCATCCCTGCAGGCCTGCCCCCTCTGATAAGCAGGTCTGGTACACTTTGTGACTGTCTGATCGAGGTCCTCCAGGGAAGGTCGGCTGAAGTGGAGGGTGGGGGTGGGGGGGGTAGTTTGCATTCTTGGCCATTTCATGAAAAAAGGGTGCAACCATGGGAGTAAGCCAAGAGGAGGGCTCAATTATGCATGGTTAAACAAAGCCCAAGGCTACCATGCGAGCTATGTCTCAGCAAACTCTGCCTCGCTCTGGAGCTCCAGACCCCAGGAGGAACCTACTCAAGAGAAGAAGAACAAAAAAAAACTGAAAGAAATATAAAAAAACAAACAGGAATAAAGGAACCTACTAGCTGCTGATAAATCACTAGATTGTGTTATGACAAGTGCAGGCACTTTGAAACTAAACTTCTCAGAGGCCTTCCTTAAAAGAAAACATTCCCATTCACATGAGGTCAAATGATTCATCACAGAGTTTACGTTACAAATAAACCAACTCGAGAGGCAAACTGGCCTGTGAAGCCATCAAAGACGACGACCTGCTCGGAGCACAGACAATGACTAACCCTGGATGTGATTTCTGCACCAAACTCAACAATAATTCTCTCAGGAGCTGTCAGTGATTTTGGTCTAGTGGCCCTTAAAGTTCTTACTAGCATAATGAAGAAAACTTCCCAGCAGTAACACAGTCAGTCTATGTGGTATTTCAAGTCTTCAGAGGTAAAAAAATAAATAAAAAAATCGGGGGTTTCTCACAAATTATTTTGACAGATGTGTGCTTCGATTTCTCCTAGAAAGCAGATTACTGAGCGTGTAGCTGCTCACTTCTAAATAAACCCTCAAACTTAATCACGACTGTTTAAACAGCCATTACACCTCCAGCAGGTCAGAGGCCACTTTTTCAAAAGCAAAACATCACAACCTCAGCAACTGGACACTCAGCATCTGGCCCCCTCTTTTCTTCAGACACACAATAAATCGGAAAGTATGTGGCTTTGGTTACATGTAAATTATAGGCAGTTCTTCCAGAGCCGGAGGGGGGAGGGCTGGAGGATCAGTATCCATGTGAAGTACAATATATGAATGGAAGCAACCTGGCTAAAAAGCTCTGTCCCAACATCTTCCTCTTGTTTCCCTGGGAAACAGGAGAGGAGGGCTGGGGTCAGGTGACAGGGACGTTCAAAACACACACACACACACACACACACACTCACACACACACTATCTATACTGCAAGCTCAAAAACAAATGTAATTACTCATTCAAAGACCACATTATGGCAGCATTTAGGTCTCTTTGGTGTTGTTAATGTGTTTTCTTGCTGCAGACAGAAAGAGTTGAGCTGCTCTGTTATTGTTCTGAACAAACCAGAGGATTTTCTTTTTCAACAAGCAGATGTTATGATACCCGGCTGTAACATCACCTCTGACAGCAGAGCTGATGATGTGCAGTAAAGGATGATTTAGCAGCGGCTAAAGCCTACGGCAAGGTTGTTTGAAACAGCATCTTGAGCAGGGACGGAGGAGGTGGAGACACAAACTGAGGCAGAAACATTGGCACACAATATTCCTACTATATCTCCAGAGAAAATAAGGTACATGTCTGCATGCCCTTTAATGTATCTAAGGCGTCAAAATGTTTAAAGGATAAAAAACCAAAGATTTTCATTCTACTGAAAAGCACTTGAGCAGAAAGTAACGAGCTAACTATGAATCGATTAGCCCTGTTCCTCCACTCGGCGCCCACGTTTTTGACTTCTTAAGTGTTTCAAATATGTGTGGTGCTGTGCTCATTGACGCCTGTTTTTGCTGGCTTGAGAAAATCACAGCTTTGTAGGTGAAGTTAAGATTCAGGGCCAAATATTCCTTGGCAAGAAGTGGAAAAACAGAGAAAGAGAAACTGCTACAAAAAAAAAAAAAACTAAACAAAAGCTTGTATGTGAGTGAGATGAACCAAGTCAACTTTGAGAAGGACAACACCTGATGTAACATTTTCCTAATTCTAATTGAGAAGATAACCTCGTAGCAAACACTTCCACAGCTTCACTAAGTATGAGGATGTCTCACAGCGGGGAGCAGCACAGTTGCAGGGGGTTTAATAGGGGGTGTGAGGCAAAGATACTGAGTGACATGAAACACAGCGCTTAATGCTGCTACTCTAAAAGCAACAGATGAATAAATATGAATAATAATTATTTGTTCTGCTTATCAACATGGACAGAAGTTTCTGCAGCAGCAGATGTCGTTCTTCTGTGCCTATGTTGATCATGACGTCCTCACCAGGGTTGTAGCGCCATGGTGTTTGTTTTTGTTGTTTATTGTAGTTATTGATGCTGCTGTGGAGACAGCTAAATGTGTCTAACATTCAAGTCCAAGACAAATTTTCCTATGTGAACAATAACGTGTATCATATCTAGAGCTGTGCATTTTTTAATCCCTAAATTAAATTATTAATACCTGAGGGAAATTCGGGTTTACACTCTGTTATTTATAGGGACATGAATCACACACATGCACAAACAGGACCTGTTGACATGCATTAGTGGAGAGATGTCAGAGTGGGGCTAAGCAGAGGGCGCAGTTGGGGGTTTGGTGCCTTGCTCAAGGGCACCTTGGCAGTGCTCGGGGAGTGACCTGGTACCTCTCCAGCTACCAGACCAACTTCCAGATTTGGTCCGCACCAGGACTTGAACCGGTGACCTGCTGGTTCCCAACCCAAGTCCCTACAGACTGAGCTACTGCCGCCATCTTCACTTGTCTCACGTTTCTATTCCATTATTCCGTCAACGATTTGATATCACGATGCATCTTTATACATCACAGTGGGTTGCATCCTACATTTTTCCATATTACTGCACAAGGCTACTTTATCATCAGTGAACACAAGCAGTCATATACGTATATATAAATATGATATACAGTATATGTGAAATATACATCGTAGACCAAAAATAAATAGATTATAGGCCCAGCCGCTGCTGGAAAAACTACAAGCAACATCAGTACGTAATAATCACTTATGTTCTGTCACTGCATCCATGGAGAATGGTCCACGTCCGCATCACGATGCATCATAGAAACAATTCATATCAACACCCCTAAATGTATCATTTCGTATCGCAACGTATCACAAATTGCAGTAAATTTGCACTGTATACTCTTTGAAGTCAAAAATGTATCATATCTAACTACAAAGGCAGTATACACTTCTAGTTACAAAGTTTCAAACATTGTTCCAAACAAACTTCGGGCGACTTAACACGCCTTAATACTCTGGAGCTTGCCCAAAAAATCATGTAGAGCATCACACTCCTGTGGTCATAGAGTAATCCTGAGACAGCTGTACTTGAGTTAGTAGAGTGTAAACAGGGACTGTCATTAGCCACTGAGGTCACCAACCAATCAGAATTGTTGAATGAGAAAGTGAACAGTTTGGACCTCAGACAAAGAAACTTAAAAAAAAAGACTTTTTGACTAAATAAAAGTCCAGGCACACATACGAGACCCACTGAAAATAACCTAGTGACCCACTTTTGGGTCCCGACCCACCAGCTTGGAACCAGTAGTCTACATCGCTCACTAATAGAGAACAAACCATATGACAGATTTTTGTAGGCCAACCCGGAAGTAGCATCTCCATGGGATCTATCGAGAATTCGCCTATTAGATTTTTGCATTGGATTTTGGATCACTGCAGAAAATAAGCTCTGTCTCAAACACATGTTTCTGAAGCGTAGGTGTTTTGCTCAGCAGGATAATCTTCACAGATGAACACCATTTTTATGATGTTTGAAGCGTTAATGCGGCCAACAGAAGTAAAAAGCTAACGTTATGCTAAAGCTAACTACACCACGGTTGGATGATGTGACGTCACTAGCGTTATGCTTCAGACGATCTCCGATAAACTAATCCACGTAGCTTGATAAATAGTTTACTAACATAATATTCACCTTAACCTAAAGATTAAACCTACAGGAGACATCTCCGACTAGTGAGAGAGTTCCCGCCCTCTGTGTCCGGTGTGATGACGTTTAATGTCCCCGACAACCATTTAGCCACTTGTTAGCAACCGCCTTTTTAAAGACGCATAAAAACTTCAAAATTCACAAGTGGGGGTATTACCTAACGTAGTTTATGTGGTCTAACAAAACGCCAACATCTCTTAAGCTTGTGTTAACCACAGACCTTATTTCAGGCGTCTAACCACAAACCCATCATAATCCCCGTTGACTTTTAGACGTTAGACCCCATGGCGCTCAAATGCTAACTTACTTCTGGATTTTAGGACTCATTCCTGTGCCTGTAGATTAGAAAAACATTTTAAAAATCAAGACGTTCATGAAAACAATGTCAAACTGACATGGATGACTGAATCTAGTGAGAGCTCCTGTCTTTTATAAAACTGCAATCATTCATGTAGCAACAGAGTCATCATAACAGATTGAGCTTTTTGTTCTCTTCCAGCCGGTTCATATACAGATTTTGACATTTCAAACCTGCTGACAGCACCACAGAAACGTGAAACACAACAGTCATATTCTACGTTTAAAGTAAAACCCCAGAAAAAAAGCATCAAGGCTGCTGCAACCACAATCCTGTATTTCAGCCCTGGATTCAGTTAGCAACATTTAAGTTTGCTTTGGACGTCACTTTCTCATCCAGCAGGTACTGGAAGCGTCAAACTGGCAAAGTTTCCGCTCACATCCATTGAAATAATTTTTTGGGTTTTACTCACCACAGGAGCAGCAGGTGAAGCAGTTTGTGTGATACAGGTTCCCCATGGCCTGGCAGGCTTGGCTGGCTCCGTACACTCCCTTCCCACATTTGACACAGATACCTGTCAAAGACACAAGGTCAGTTAGCCAATGTGTTGGATCCTGAGCAGAATAAGAGTAGAAGAGTTTTCTTCATGGAACATGGCAATAAAATGTCAAAGCAATGCACTAATTTATGTGTGCTTATTCACTAATGTTGTGCAAACAAGTTTGATATTGGATGTTAAACTGCCTTACTGCCTTCATTAGTCACAGCTGCTTGTGCACCATTACCATCAATACCATTTTGAACACGCTGCCAGTTTTGATTCCTTTTTTTTTGGAATGCTGATCAAAAAAGCAACTCTGCCAAACCATGTATGCAAAAAAAAATAATTATCCTGCAACAAATATATGATCACTGCTGTATTTCTGACTATGTGGATTCAATCCATCGTTCAGACTGCAGCTTTTGAAGACCAACATCACACTGCAAATCAGGAATGTCCAAGTCAAGCTCAGAATCCAAACTCAGCCAACACAACGAGTTGCCACAGCTGCACAGGTGTGCTTTTATTTTAAAGAGGACGCTTCAAATTTGAGTTGGTGTCTTTAGTTCACGTTTAATTTCCTAAAATGATTTCTATTCCTGTAGCAGAAGACCAAAAAAATCCAGCTTACATGTTCTGATGGTCAGGACAGCCTTAAGTGACTTTTATACACACTTCATACATCGGCAGACTCCAACAACTAGAATCGGTTTAAGAGTCCTGACAGATGACGATGATGCTGTTTTCCAATATTCTATTAAATTGAGGCTGTAGAAATTATTTAAGAAATGTTGAGGTCATGAGTCCAAATGTCGATAACTTATAAGCCTTACAATACAGTTCTGACTCTCAGTGTTTCTCTAGTCCATTAAATATTCATAGAAGATAAAGTTGAAACTAAAATCATTGATTATTGTTATTTAGAATGAACTCCGCTCAGAACCTCAGCTTTATCAGGACGCTGCGGTCGTTTGAGCAGAGTTCATCGAAAGTGCTGCCAACATAAACAAACAACCCCATCACTGTAATTAGATTTTTAATTTAAATGTTGCCAACTATGATTGGTGCACATAAATGTGTGACATCATCCTTTTCCAACTGAGCCCCTCCCCCATTAAACCACTGAGCCACAAAAACAGAAGGAACATAAAGCATCTGAGTATCAAAAAAACAAAAACTTTTCCAGCTCTGGTAAAAATGCTGTTTTCTTGTAGGAATCAATGTCTCATTGAAAGAAGCTGATCTAAGAGAAGGGATGCTTGAGGTCTTTGAAATTCAACATGGGTTCAAGTTTGACAAAAGTCAGTGCTCTTTGAAACAATCCAGGGGGGTTCGATGCAAGGGGAATGTATTGGCAAGAAGCTGACGATCCAATACATATCAAAATACAGGATTTACAATGAATGACACTTTATACAACAGATATGTTTATAAGTCATCTAATTGGCCAACAGCTGATCAAGAGAACAGCACTGGGACTTCTCACTTTATGTATCACTCCGCCAAGGTGTTCTAAATACTGTTAATTATGTACAACAGTCTTTGTTTAGACACATCAAGCTCTCGCTGTCAGCAGACCTTTAGTTCACTGATTCATCTATTTCAAGTGTGCAGAAAAATATTTACGTGTTGCTTGGAAACCCTCCAGTTCCCGTGAAGTTGTGAAACTAATTGTGTCAGTGCAGCGTCATCAGTGCAAAGATATTACAAAATAATTCTCGGGTGTTGCAGATTAGTGATGCACTGACCCAAACCAGAGGGACATGCATCACCATCCACAGGTACACAGTACACTTCTTCTTCTCCAACAACAGCCTACACAAACCAGCTTTATAGAGAAGAATGACGCTAATTGAAAAGAAGAAGGGGGGGGGGAAACGATGGCTTAAAAAGTATTCTGACGCAGCAGCAGCAGCAGACGAACGATCGGCAAACTCTCACACACAAGTCAACCTCCACTGGGGGTCACATTCCTCAGGGAGTGCAGGGTCAAAGCCTGGGTGGGGTGAGTCCAGGGTCACACTGCCTAAAGGACTCAAGATCCTGACAGGGAGCTCCCCCCCCCCCTCCAGTTAAATTATATCCTATCTTTGATACAAATATATATCTCCGGATGGTTTTAGAGTAAGGACGCACTCCCTGGCTATCTGAAGCAAATAAATTCTCTTTCCTAACAGCTCTGTGCAGCCTGGGACATCAGCAGACACAGATAAAGGACACAGATAATCAAAGAACCAAACATAGATTACATGTCTTCCCTTTTTACTTAAGATGTTGGCATGAAATAATTCATCAAAATATCAAAAGAATGTATTGATATCACAATAAAACATGCAAAAAGAATAAACAATTCAGCTACTTATTGTCTTGTCTGCTTGATTTCTGAAATGATGAAATATATAATGAAATCCTAACAACACTGAAGATGTAAAAAAAACATGACACATGGGGTCATTCTGATTTATCAGAATAAATTAGATAGGAAGCAACCTGACCATTCTTGTCAATAATAAAACAACTTCAATAGCAGTTAATGTCTTTCTCATGTATCTGTGAAGGGGGGGGAACACAAGGACACATTCAATGACACCACGGCTGTAGAATCGTATACCCGCCTCTTGTAGTCTCTTTTTAAGAAAACCATGCAAACACTGAATAAAAGAACCAAGTCAATTAAACCTGCTGAATTCAAGTCGCATATCATTTAGCAAAATGTGAATGAAATGATTTCTTTGTTCAGGCCTTTTTATTTTAATTTTCCCATTTGGTTTATGCAGCACAAACTGTTAAACTTGAAAATGTTATAATACTGGAGCTCTGGACTGCTTACAATCCGTATACTAGTCTACAAACTTTACTTTGCTGATCACTTGCTGTCATCGTTAACTCCTAATTTCCCCGTTCTCATACAGTATTTAAACTCTAACTCTTAATTGAGTAATGCTTCTTCTTAATTCTAAGTGTGCAGAGTTACTTGGATAAATCTTCTAGACAGAACCGGACTGTGATGCAGGGAACTTCTTGCATGTTTGTATGAGTTTTTTTTTTTAGCTTTTCTGTTTCTGCAACAGGACTCCCCCCCCCCCCCCCCCATATTTATTTGACAATTAACACTAGATTTGTTTCTGAATGGTACTAGTAAATGCATATGGGATGAGCAGTACACCTTGTAGGCCTACCTTTATTGTACCTTTATATGGACCTAAAAACATTGAATTGAAATCTTTATAGATTATAGTGTGTGATCGTGCCACCTGCTGCACCTGTACATAAACACCAACATGCAACCTTGACACAAAGTTGATGACCAGAAACTCAACATGTTTTAACAAAGATTGACAAGGTCCAAGTCACACATTACACATACAGTATGTCTGAACTCCAACAAGGAAAATCTCTAATTCTCAATTTCTCAGTATTACACAGTTGTCAGCATATGTCGCTAAACTGTAAATGTGAACTGTTATCTGAGGGGGGGGGGGTATAAGTCCATGGTCATGCAATACTGACTGACTGACTTTTGCTTTGACACTCTTCCCAGCGCCTGAACTGAGAAATTATATATTTATGGAGCTACATCAATCTACCTTCATTATTTCTCCTCACTCTCTCTTTTTGCTGCTCTGCGGAAGATTGTTAAATCTTAAAGACTCTCCAGATTTTTGTCAACATGTTCTTTGTCATGCAAAATAAAATAAAAACCTGAAGTATCTTATAAGCGAGGATATGGTTATGGTTTGACAGGACAGAAGGAGATGTCTCTGAAGCTGTCTCTTGTTTTTCATTTTAAAACAGGAAGCTGAATCCCTCATGTGCCAATTTCATAACATGTCCATGTGGCAACAAGGACAGGATGTTGTGTATTCAGTGAGGTTAAAAATAAAATCACTGGATGCACATGCGTCTCTGCAACTTTTAACAAAAACACGGTTCAGCTTTCTCAAAGCATTCCCAACACAGCCGAGTGTGGGCCTGTGAGACCGCTTTTTAAACATCAGACTGATGAGTTTGATGATGAAATAAAAATGGAGTATGAGTTCAGTGTGTCAGTATTAAAGGATGTTGTTATTTCTGAAAGATGAAAATGTTACATGGAGGGTCAAGCCAAGGTTTTCTGACAGGTGATTATGTATATAAATAGTTCCTGATTCATAAAACTTTGACGACCACTTGGCCTGACTTTGTCTTCTCACACCATATAAATAAAACAATGAGTGTAGTTAAGATCTGTCCAACAAATATAACATCTGTAGGGAGAGAAATAGAACCAACAAACTGCTGCACACTATTTAAGAAACCTCTGCACGTCTTCCAGGAGTGTTTCACTCTCTTTCACTGCAACAACAAACATGGCTGTGTATGATAAATCACTGGCAAAGCAGAGTGCAAGACAGTGGACTGACAGCGGCAGGAAGCGTGAAACCCTACGGTGGCAGCCTATTCTAACCAAAAGACAAAACTGAAGATGCTCAGATGAACAGACAAGTCATTTTATATGCTGTGTTTGGGGAGCTACATTGAAAGCATATAGCCCTGAAAGCTAAACTAGCACTTCCAACTTGAAGTTTGATTTATCACAACAGGGAGAAATCGAGTTCTCAGATATAAACAAATAATATAAAATACCCCAATTATCTTAGGAAATGGCAAGAAGTGTCACAGAGACCATCAGTCACCTGTTTCCCTTTAACTATCGAGCTGGAGGTACTGCACCGAGCAGCTAAGGTCACTTCTAAAACAACAAAAAGCTCTCAGAGTACTTCAAACATGGTGCAGAAATGCAAAATGTAGCACTCAACTTCACACCAGCCTTTATATCATTAAAGCCTGGAAATAGGGGCCCATTATAGGAGCCCATTATAGGAGAGAGGTCACATCATCCTCTGATGTGACACATCAGAGGATGATGAAGCTTTTAAAACTATAAGCAAGTTTCTCCTTTAATTATACAGCTTATCTTATGTCGGTTGCAATTTGTGCAATAAGAGTGTACGCAGCGTTGAAAGGAAACTGCAGGGACACATGGCAGGGGCAGTGTGCTGTTGCAACAAGTCAGCATGCCGCATGTGTGTGTGTGTGTGTGTGTGTGTGTGTGTGTGTGTGTGTGTGTGTGTGTGTCAGGCATGTGCATGACTACTGCCATTATAATTCTGGGCAGGTGATCAGACTTGACCCCCACCAACTACGTCTGGCCCGCCAGCCAAGATCGTGTGCCAAGTGTCTGGTGTTGCCCGACTCCCCACTGGCTGGTTAATGAAGGGCTTCGCGGGGGGAGTCAGGGTGGGGTGGTGGTGGTGGAGGGGGGGTTGAGAGGAGAGGAGCAAATGGGTGGGGTGGGCTTCCCTCCTTCCCCTCACTCTGCTGCTTGAATCGCAGGCCCTGTATCAGGCCAGCTGTTGATTCACAGCTCCTTCGCCACCACAACAAACAGAAGGCCACACAAGGGCCGGTCAAGCAGAGCCGGGCAGTGTGGGACACTGGCAGAGAGTGCTGCCCCCCCACTTAGCCCAAAAAAAGACGATCAATTTCTTCACTGTCGCTACGGAAACAGAGCTGTATCCATAGGGGTTTTTGTAAAGAGAGTCTGACTGTATTCTTCTCTTCCTTCCACTCACCATATCTGCCTAATTCCGCCCTCTTTCTCCATTGTCTCTCCTGTTCTTCCTTCTTGCTTTCTTCCTCATCTCTCCTCGTCTTCTATGCCTTTCCTCCTCCTCCTCCTCCTCCTCTCACCTGCTTCTCTGGAACAAATCAACAGCTGTCTACGCCTTGCTCAGAGCAAGTGCACCAGCTATAAAACAAGCCACTGTTCTCCGACTGCAAGCCATTTGTCTGACTGCTGATTCAAAAGGTAGACAGCGACTTCCTCAGCGGGATTTCCATTGGCTGCTGAACCCAACACATTTGGTCTCATAGTTACTTATCGCACACACACACACACAAAAAAAATCCCAGCAAATGTTATTATTGAAATCTGGCAACAATCCAATAAGCTCCCTCCTCCAGATGGTGCGTTTGCAACAAAAAAAAAAAAAATCCAGACCATGTTGCTCTGAATGACCAAAAAGTGTCCACTCTGGCAGAACAGAAGGTTCCATTCAGCGAGGTGCAGCGCTGCGCAAATGTTAGCAGTGCCAAGACAGAAATTAGTATTGCCCTGCAAAGCCACTGTTATCAGCCACAGAGGGACCTGTTAGTGTTAGCACTGTGCAAGCTGCTTGCAAACAGACCTTGAAAAGATGACAAGCCTATAAATAACCTCATCCTGCACTGAAAACACCAGCGAGCACTATTTGTACTATTTCCTCGACTCCCATTTTTGATAGGCACTCGCCTGATTCAGCAAAAGTTACACACAGATATGTCATGCTGCCAGGGCTATTGTGCTGTTGCCATGGATATTTTACTATGATTCCAGTGGAATCAAATGAAACAATAAAGGACTTGCAGTTATCAGCAGAAACCTATTTCTGATCCCTTTCTTTGTGGATTTTTAAATTTGCTCTTTCTGCACATGACTTAAAACATCTGCATGCATAGTTTTCTGAAAGAATCATGCAAACACCTCACAGGTACTTGTGCAGATATACTCTACAAGAACAGGGCAAGGGAAGAACAAGGTGTGTGTGTGTGTTGGGGGGGCATCATTTGCCAACATGATTATTAGACGGTGAATATACTAATTCAATGAAATATGTTCTTTAAGGGCCACAAAACCAATCTGATCCTACACAAAATACACATTGTACAAAGGGGACTTGCGATATGTGGAATAAAAAAAAAGATCTGTGCTCTTTATTCAGCAACACTTTTTGTTTTTGTTTCAATATGGAACTTAATTCATAACTACTAAGTTTTAACAGACCATAAAGGTCATTTGACAACAAACCTGTGAGTAACAGTACCTACCAAAGTACTCCTTTTTCATGTGCATCTCTAACTCCTTCTCCAGCTCCAGGGTGAGGGCCTCCAGCCGTCTCTCCGCTTGGCTCGGCCCGCTCTCCCTGCTGGGGGTCACCACCTGGTAAGGTATCTTGAACCTCTGGCCTGACGTGGCCGCTTTAGACACCCCATAGCTAAACGACAAGGGAGACCCAGCAGCGGTCATCTCCGCAGTCCCTCCTCCTGTCTGTGCCGACTGCTGCTGCTGGGGCTCTGCCACCGCCGAGAGAACCTGCAGATGGAGGCGGTTCTGGATCCCGTTGGAGTCTCCAAACTCCTGTAACAAGGTGTCCTCGTGCAAACCGGTTCCCAGCATCGACGTCCTGGGCGAGGGCAGCTGCTGCAGGTCCGGGTAGGTGCTCATAGACCCCCTGGAGCTGCGGGAACTCCTGGAGCTGTGGCTGGAGATGCTGGAGCGGGGGCTGACCACGCAGTTCGCAGAGGTACCCGGTCTGGCGCTACTACCATCTTGGCTGCAGATGCTCGAACGAGGACTCGGCGCTGGGTGCAAAATCGCCCCCTCCAGGTCATGGTTGCCCCCAGGGCCCCCGTACCTGGAGTCAGAGTAACTTGACCTCGGGCTGGTGGTGAATGAGTACTGGCTGGCCGTGCTGGACCTGGGGCTTGTGTGCCTCTGGTCGTAGCCCATGCTGATGCCGCTGGTCCGGTTGCTGCTCGGCTTGCTGCAGCAGTCGCAGCTGTTGAGGCTGGTCCGGGGGCTGGAGTGTTTACTGGTGTCGCTTGCGGTGCTTGCATAGCTGGATCTGGGACTTAGGACACTGTTGCCCTCGCAGTGAACCAAACTCGACCTGGGGCTTGTATACCTGTCCTGACCCGGCACAACCAAACTGGTGCGCGGGCTGCTGATGCTGGACCTCGGGCTGGCGTGCTTGCTCTGCTCCTGGGAGGACAGGGACGACGCCAGGCTGGACCGGGGGCTGGTGGCGTTGTATCTCCCGTCATGGCTGCTGCTGGTGATGCAGACGCTGTTGCACCTGTTGCCGGGCAGAGGCGCCCCCGGTTTGTTTAGAGGCACCCCGTCGAAGGTGGACCCGGTGCTGTACCTGTGGCCCTGCACCTCCAGAGAGTACCTCCTGTGCCTCTCCGACGCGCCCGTGTAGCAAGGTAGAGCCACTTCGGATTTGGTGCAGCAGCCCCCCTCCTCGGTGTAACCTGCGTCTCTCTGAGGGGCGCAGAAATCCACGGGCACGGTCCGGGCGCAGTTCACAGGTCGCACCGGAGCCGCCGTGTACACTTTATTCCCCGTGGTGAAATTCTCCACAGTGTGATGCTGCTGGTGGAGCACAGAGGTGCCATTCATCGGCTTACTTTTACGCTCCGCCGCTAAAGGAGCCGAAAAGTCTAAATCAGGGTTTATAACCAAGTCTCTCCTCGCGTTGTACATCCCGTCTTTATACGCGTCGTACAAGGAAAGGTCCTCCATTAACGTGCTGGCCCGGAGTCCCAGATCCTCCTGGTAGTGCTCCATGTTGTGCGAGGAACAAGTTGAGAGTGAGCACCGCGGAGCACTAATTGCATTTCACATGGAAATCAAAACAAAAAAACGCCGCGCTACAGCTCCTCTCTCTCTCTCTCTCTCATTTACAGAAAACCACCAACGTACTCAGAAAGCTCCACCGTGAGCCACATCGTCTTCTTCTTCTGCTTTTCCCCCCTTCCGCCGAAAAAACAAACTCTTTCTCACAGTTTCAGCCGACAGGGGATACGTTTGTCAACTTCAGTTTTTTTGTTAAGTTGAAAGGTCTTTACAGTCAATGGCGCGCTGCGCGGAGGAATTTCCCCTTGTTGGTTTTTCCTCTAGTTTTCGCTTACGGTCACTATGCTGCAAATCAAAGTAAGGTTGGATAATCGCATACGCCATAAATGTCCTGTGTGTTTGAGTCCGAGCCCTCGAAGCGTTTGAGAATCTAAATAAAATGCCGTTTTCCACAGGGGACTTGTTCGCGTCAAAGGAATGCGGGGATGGAGACAGGATGCGCTGCGCCCCTCAGGAATGTGGTTAATGCTGCAGAGAAACAATGATTGCGACCAACTCAGCAAGGGGCTGCCGGCTCTGAAAAGAGAATAGTTTAGAGAGAAGGGGACGTCTGCATTCATCCCTGGCAGACTAAAATACCACACAAAGCACGCCTCACCTGGTCCGACTCCTTTTCCAACCAGATATAAGCTGCAAAGAGAATAATAACTTCAGTTTATACACCTTATCAAGGATGAATGTAGAGCCTACTCGGAGATCATCCTAAATAATGTGTATATCATCCGGGTACTCGTATGTCCTACTGTTTTCAGTTTGGTCCTTAGAGGAATATTATGATGTTGGTAAAGTATCAAATAAATTATTTATAGAAGTGTTAGCTCAGTTTAAGCTGCATTCAATGTTGTAATTGATTCTAAATATATCACTTTAATTAAAGTAAATTAGGCTATTGTGAAAAACAAAACTTCAAATTTGACCCAGATAAGAAAAAGAAATCACACAAACCATGTTTACTTTGTAAGGTTTTATACGTATAGTAATGCTCGGCCAACCACTGTTTAGTCCTTTTCCTAAAACAGCATTAAAAAAAAATGATGCAGAGGCATATTTGGATGTGTTTGATCTGTTAAAAAGTGAACTGAAAGAAGGTACAAAAAATAGGTTTATAAACTATTTGGTAATTTCTTATGGATTGGGGTTACTGTGTAAAAGTAGAAGGTAAACATGCTCATTTTGTTTTCACTGAGTTTGTCTGTCTGTGACTGAAGCACCTGACAGTACAGAACATTCTGAAATAAAAAAAGTGCACATTGATCTGATCATTTTTAATCATGTAAACAGTGTTGATCTGGAACAGTCTCTGTATTGCTTTTTGAAAACTATCCAATAGATGTTTTTTGCTTTAGCTACTCATCAACTGCCGACAAATGGAAGAAAAGAGAGAGCCACGGCAACAAAGGCAGAAACAAGCAGGATGTCCAGCAGCAATCGACCAAGACTGGAGCTGTGCGGATTCTTCCCATGGCCTCTGCTTCTGAACCATTGCACCACCTCATCCAGGTTGTGCTCCTGGGGCTCGTAACCCAGCTCCACCTTAGCTTTGGCCATGCTGAAGTAATGCGTGACACCGGTTTTATACACCTCTGTGCGTGTCAATAGAGGTTGGAAGTTATAGAAGGGGCCAATGAGGTTGTGGACCATTTCTGTGAGGAAGGCAAAGAAATAGATGAGAGAGATAGGAAGGCGCAGCTTGGGGAAAGGATAACCTAAGCCCTCCACCAGGGGTCTGAAGAATTCAAAGTTGTTGACAGGCCGGCCATCGGAGATGAAATAGGCCTGACCAGCAGAGCGGTGCTGCTTCTCTGAAGTCAGCGCCTCTGCGGCCAGCTCGTGCGCCGACACCAGGTTGTCCACATGGACGAACTCCACCAGGCTGCTGGGGTCCCCGTAAACAAACCTGAAGATCCCTTTCTCAATGTAGCCGACAATCCTGGGCAGGTGCCTCTGCTCACCAGGCCCGTAGATCCCTGCTGGACGCAGTGCGCAGGTTCTTAGCACCCCGGAGCCACCCTCAAGTGCAGCGCCATTAGCCTTTAGCACTGCCATCTCTGCCAGGGACTTGGTCCTGGAGTAGTGATCAGGGTGAAGATGAAGAGGTAGATAAGGGAGGCCTTCGTCCCCGTTCTTTATCTCTTGACCGCCAAACACCACGTTGAAGGTGCTTGTGTAAACCAGTCTGGATACTCCGAGCTCAATGCAAGCCTTCAGGACGTTCTGTGTGCCTTGAACATTCACCGCCTCAATCAGATGGCGGTTTAGCTGCTCCCTGCCCGACATGCCATAGGAGGCGAGGTGCAGTACACAGTCCACGCCAGTGATGGCTTTCTCTACATGTGCATACTCACGTATATCTCCCTGAACAAACACTATGTCCTCTGGCAGCTCCTGGTTGGGAGGGACTGTATCAAACAGAACAACTTTGGTTCCTTTTTGACGCAGGGAGCACGCCAGGCTGCAGGGGGAAACAAATGAGTAAATATGAATACATTTCTGCAAGAAAGTAGCCTAAATTCATGCATTGATTTGATTTGCAAATCTGAAAAGAAGTTGGAATTTATGTCCAGATAAATACAAATGAGTATGAACATATTAAATCCCAACCCCTTCACCATTAGTCTTTCATTGAAAATGATCCCTTCAGCACCCTTTAAATGAACCTAAATTCATTTTCTTATACTTGTCTAAATATATTATATTCACACATATTATCTCTGCCATACAAAATATGAACCTGTGTTAATATTTAATACGTGTTTCTAATTGCATATTTAGAAAGTTTTATATTTTATAGTCTACAAACGTACAAAGGGCTGATCCAACAGAAATAACTTGTACAATAGCGCCACCTTGTGGTAGTAAATTATTATGACAGCACAAAGCAACTGTTCTCATTACCTATTACTGATTGTGGGTGTAGTAGTAACAGTCTGAAATTGCTCTTACCGATAACCAACATATCCACATCCCCCAGTAATCAAAAACGTGTGTGCACGTCCAGCTTCCATTGCAGGTGGTGAATCTGTGAGTTTAAAAAAAGAGAAAACATGTTCGAGATATTCATTTAATAGTTCAACACGTTAGGCTACTAAAGCGAAGATATCGCTAGGCCTTAGAGCTGGGAAATATATCGAGTTTTTAAGATCTATCGATATGTTTTCAAACAAGATATAAGTTAAACAATATCGTTAATATGGATATAGTTTATGTTAAAATAACGTTCTCGAGGTGCCAGGTCACCTTTTTCTCATCTCACTGATGATGACTGACTGTCTGTCCCTCTTCACCCTGCTCCTCCTCTCTCTCTCTTTTATTGTATTTAAGGAAAAAAATATTTTATAACAGTACTGTTTAAATTCACAAACAGGTAGTTTATTTTCATGTGTTTTCACTGTTAATAAAATACATATCGATATATATCGAGTATCGCCATTCAGCTAATCAATATAAAGATATGAGTTTTGGTCCATATCGCCCAGCCCTACTAAGCCTGCATCTTTCGTCTAAAGTTCAAAGCTGACAAGTTGCTCATGTAAGCCCACGTTAAAAACACTGAAGGTTTCACATCTCACACAAGAGGAAATCAATATTTTATGAAGAAGTGCTTTTGTTTTATTACTACGCGGTGTGTTAAGAGTACCACAAACATCCATCATTATGAATACAGTATAGGATCTATGTAACTTTTCATAAAGGAGGCTGATTCAGAAGTCATGGCTCATTCACTGGAGTCTTAGAAGCGTTTACATGCACAGAGCACAGCTAAGATACAATCACAGTTTGAGTGAACTTTTGAAGATGAAGTATTTATTCTTAATACTTACCTTATCAGAGGTGAGGTATTTAATGATCAGACTAACAGATGACTGTCACTCGTTGTTATAAAATGTTCTGTAACACCGGTGAACACTTCCTCTTCTTCTACTTCATTTCATTGGCGTTAAAGATGCATGCTGCCACCTAGTGCATCGGAGTGTATAACATCATTTCTTTATCGATTTATTTACCATGTTAATTAAGTACCAGTTTATTTTTAGATATGTAAATAAAGCCCTAAGCCTCTATTGTCCCCGAACTCTTTCAGTCCTTAAATGTATGGAGTTAGATCAGTCTCAGTATTCATGAATGCACATGGATTCACAAATGTATTTTGAGATTTACAGGCTATATCAGGGGTGTCCAAAGTGCGGCCCGAGGGCCATTTGCGGCCCTTGAGGAGATTTTTTTGCGGCCCGTGGCTTCAAATGAAGAATCAGAAGATTTTGGCCCGAGGCCTTGATAAAGATTGGCACATTATCTTATTTTTCTTTTTCATGTTAACAAGGGCTGAACAATATTCCTAAAATAGAAAATGTTCAGTAACATGTATGTTGTTGTTTATTTAAATCTACAGATTTTACTATTTTCCACATTTTTTGTAAACTATGAAAAAATACTTATGCAAAGTTTTTGCAAACAAGCAGACTGGTGTTTAACCATTTAATGACCTGAGCTAAATGCAGAAAGCTTTTCCAAAGACATGAACCACTACAGGCTTGATTCTGAGAAAAAAATCTATTAAAGTAGAACGAACAAAATCAAAATATTTGATTTCCTTTTAAAAGGGTTTCTTTAGCGAGCCTTTTGATTCTGATCTACAAAGCTTACTATTTTTTCAACTATATTTTAAAAAACAAAACCTGTGGCCCGCGAGCGATTGAGCCAGATTTCTTTTTGTTGAACTCCAGACATTCTGTGAATCCGTCTGTATTCAATTAAAATACCAGAACGCTTTTAAAACATCAGATATTTAAAAGAAATATAGTTTACATTATTGCCCGGTGACTTGTTTTATCGGCTTGTAGTAACGATCACTATTTTGTTTCCTTTCACTAACTTTTTTTCTCCTTCCTCACTTCCTTTAGTACACTTAGTATACCTGCAGCCTTCAGAATAAAAGCTTTTCTTTTAAAAAATGTAAATGTTATTTTTGTTATCAATCGTCGTACATAAAAACAGGTAAAGTATCTTTACTTTTAAGAGCCAAAGGGAATAAACAAAATTCCATCATGTTTCCATATTTTAACACCTCAATTTAATGCAGCCTATAGGCCTTACAGTCTAAAGTTCCTGAAGCATTGTTCAACTAATCTTTGATAGAGATCTCCATGTAGTACTAAATATATACATCCACCACTGTTGACCTGTGTACTTTAGATCAGCAGCAGTGTTCTAAGAAAAATAAACACTAGTTACATTTTAACAAACATTAATGTAGGTATACTCTGTTATCGTTTAACTGTGACTCTATGGAGAAACACGGACAACTGCAAATTATTTAAGCCGAGGACATCATCGACCAGCTTTATAATCAGCCCCTGAACTTCAACAGTCAAAGTTGCAAAGTACCCTCAATGTCTAAAGGTAAGCTATTTTTCCAACTGATTCTGAACAGCTCATTGAACAATGGGCTGAAAAATGATTGCAATAACCTGTTAAACAAAATTTTGCCTAGATGTGTGGGGAGCATTGGACTTTGTCATATGTAGGGTGTAACTTTTGCAAGAATATTAGCAAATGTCTACTGGTACCACCGTTTGTACGCCTCTTCTCTTTTATCTTGCAGCTCTTAAAATAATTGCCAGGATGCACTTTTCCTTGTATAATAACTGTAAAAAATAAAAGTAAAGTAGGGTAGTTCTTTGCATTAATATCCTAGCCTATAACTTACAGAGCCCATGTCAAGTATAGTTACAGTTTTAAGATGTTATATTGAAATTATTTTGAGAATTGATAGCATAGGGAGGACTTCTTCTCACATTTTGTAAGTGCTTGGTGGCTCTTTGAATAAATGTTTCATCATCTTCTGTTAATACTTTATAAAGGTTTGAATATTTTATTAATGGCTGTTGTTGGTAGGCTATGGCCCACAGCCAATAAGAAAGTAAAGTAAAAACATGTGATGTTGTGTATTTTGCACAAGTACTTCAAGCAAATTGGTTTTCATGGCTCTTTCAACAAACCTGATCTTGAAACACTGAAGCTGATCCACAAACAGCACGTCATGACAGTTCCATTTGAAAACCTCAGTATGCACTGCAGGGAGAGGATTGTAATGGACCTCGAGGCGACTTACAGTAAAATAATGAGGAACAACCGTGGAGGGTGGTGCCTTGAGAACAACTTCCTGTTTGGCTGGGTGCTGAGAGAAATGGGCTACGACTGCACAACACTCAATTCCAAATGTTTCATGACGCCCCTCAATGACTATTAGCCTCACGAATCTCATCTCATCCACAGGGTGGTTATTGATGGAAAGGCTTACATAGCAGATGTAAGCTGTGGGGGGGGGGGGGAAGGACCAACATCAAATCCTCCTATCCACGCTCTCTGAACTTGGCATCTCAGGATCTGCCCTCTGCTGGTTCATGTCCTACCTCTCTGGGCGATCCTTTAGAGTGTCGTGGAAGGGAGAAGTATCCAAAGCGCACAACTTATCCACAGGGGTACCTCAAGGGTCAGTGCTTGGTCCCCTTCTCTTCTCCATATACACAAGCTCACTTGGTTCAATAATCTGTAGAATTGTAGAATCAGGCATCCAGCATCTTTTGTCTCATAAATGAGGGAGGCGTCTGGGTGCTGGAGAAGACCAACAGAAAGCCAAAGGTTCTCAATCCAAACTTTGCCAAGTCGAGTCTAATTAACAGGATTGAAACAAAGCCAGTCCACCACTTCACTTTGACACCCCGTGAGCCAGATAGTTTCCTTGATATAAACGACAAACTCCAAATAGACCTGACGTCTGTCTTCGTAAACAAGTCCATATGCTCTTTGCAAACACCCACAGGATTCCGAGCCCTGCTTGGTTGGACCTACAGTGAGGTCACCTTCAAACCTGAGGAAGGTGTTGATATCTTTGACATGAGGGAGGTAAAGGATGTTGAGGTCGATCAAATCCTAACGGAAAAGTTTAATATAAAGCTGCCGAGCAAAATGACGCCCGTAGGGAACAAATCATGGTACACAATTTAAAATCCTACATACTGGTGTTTTTGGATTGACCTAGAATAAAGTGACTGATTTCATACTTACAAGGCGGAACTGTGTGTTTAACAATTCTGCTTTTTGAAACTCCAACAATGCTTTAATTATGACATTTACCATGACATGAATTGAGTTGTATCAGAACAACTCTGTGATTTCTTCAATTTGAATTGTTGACACTTTTGGCAATAAATGATCGCTAACTTGTACATTTGATAACTGTTTGCCAGAAATACCCTCTAAGTCTGAAGCCTACCGCCTTTGCTGTGTATCACATATAAACTAAACAGTTAAGGAGAGAGGAAAGGAGTCTACTTGTGCAAAGGAGCAATGGAAGTTTCAAACATCAAAATGTTGAGAAAAATAAAGAGAAGCTCATCCAAGTCATGTGATGCTAACAATGTAAACACTTTACTATACTCATCAAACAAAAGAACTTGTTTTTGAATTGTTCTCCATTGGATTGTTAAATAAATCTACCAGTAAAACATAACTGGTCTTCTTAACCAGCAAGTGTTAGGCAATGTTAGTGCAAATCAACGTGGATGATTTACTTTTCAGTAAGAAGTGGAAGGTGAGGTGTCAATGATAGGTGTTGGGGCCTCCTGAGTGAGTAAAAACCTGCACAATGGGGTGACGCATGAAGGTTCATGTTTGGCGCATTAGTGAGTTGGATGACATGCTTTTTTTCATTTTGGCCTTTTGGTAACTTTTTGTATAAGAGCAAATATTGAGTTAATTCAGTGGACATGTGCATCAGTGGACATGTGCATCTTCTAAATCTAGGCATACACTAAAACAATGTTTACCATGATAATATACTCATAAACAGTTAGTTCTGACCGATTAATCTGATTGGTCAAGAGGCATTCCGGGGGTGCTGATATGGACTACAACAGCACGGGGACTTTTCACTGAGATGTGTATCACTCCGCCTCAAGTGTTCTGAATGTAGTTGATTTACATAACAGTGGTTGGTCTTACGTTGCATTCCATTTATGTCGTATGTCGGAGCTGGTAATGATGTCACACCCGAGTTAGCCGCACTCCAGGTACTAGTTGGCAACAAGTTGAACAAGCAACATGAATAACCTTCAGGAGTACCTTTGTTTAGTTAACTAATTCCAGGCAATAACAACCCACTGCGTGATAGTTTGAGGTCGAAAGCGTCATGTTAACATGTCCACAGATAGGACAGAACTTTAATTTAAGTTTAATTACACAAGACTGACTTGCCAATAAACACTTTACTTTTGATGCACGTAGCAGCCATGTTGGATTTTAGCTTGGGCTACTAAAATTTAAAAAAGTTTAGGGGGGGCGTTCCTGATTAAACGCACCATTTGTATTAACTAATTAAGCTGATACCCTTGAATATCAACGGCCATCAAAGTATGTTTGTGTGATACAATGAAACATGCAGATAAGTGCACATGAAGCAAAATTGTGCTGAAACAAAAAGAGATTTCACAGAGCAGAATGGGTGCAGAGAAATGTTTGTGCTTCTTGGCAAATGTCCAGTCAACGAATAGAACTGTGGTTTTCTGGTTGGTACTGGATGAACCATTAAGAGTGAAGAAATAACATCCTTCAGCTATTAATTGTCACCTGTAGAGCTGTTGAATAAAAGTTATATCGCACTTGCGGTTTTAAAGTTGTACAAAATATCAAAATAAAATGTCTTCCATGATTTAATAGGCTACTTTTTTAATTTCAAATATAGTCTGCTAAACTGCAAGTGATATGGTAACTAGTTATGTGCAGGCTACTTCATATCAATGAATACTTTTCTTCTCCTCACTTGAACTTGCAATGCACCCTGTGATTTTGTAATAAGGCTGGTGTCCTGATCCTCATCATCTGGCTTTGGTGTTATTTCTTCTTTCTTTTTTAAATTAGTGTACTGACAA